CTGACTACAACGTTGAAAAATGAAAAAGGGTGTGCTATATGTGCGGTCTGCAGCGAAGAGATAGCTCTTCGTCGCTTCTGGCCATGCCCTTTCGCGAAACACTTCTGGTTTCCCATTGATGCAGACATGGGTGAAGAAATTTTCCAACCCCGCCCTGAGTTCGTACATATGATCATTAAGGCCTTAGGAACTACTACTCCGTCCCATAATGTAAGGCATCTTTTAACACTATACTAGTATTAAAAAATGTCTTACATTATGGGATGGAGCGAGTAATTGTTTGGACTGGTTCGGCAAAGTGAAAGATGCGGATAAGTTAGTCATGGTTATGACGCTATATCACATGTGGCTAGCTCGGAATGTGACGCGAGATGGCGAGGTTATTGAAGACACCTGGGCGCTGATTGATCGTGTAATAGTGGCGATTCTGTGTACAATCTGTGGGGTCAGTTGACCTCATAACTTTTGGGAAAACCAGCATAAATTACTGTATAGTTACTGTACACTATGAAGAAAATAATTCAACAAATTAGTAATGACCAAACAGATTCATTCGGCTGGCTTTGCCACTGTCTTGTATGACGACTGCTCGAGGAGTGGACGGAGGCCCATTGATCTCTCCCTGGTGGCTGTGCAGGGTGGGCGGCCGTTGGAGCCATGGCGCCGACCAGAACCAGGCTGGACTAAGGTGAATGTAGATGGAGCTATAGAGCGAAGTTGATGGCTCAGGTGGCGGCAGCGCAGTTGTTCACGGCCCTCATGGTGTGTTCCTGGGAGTAGCATGTCATTTTTTCCCGATCGCCGGCGACTCAGTTCACGCAGAGCTATTGGCGTGCAAAAGAGGAGTTCAGCTCGTGCTCGAGGTTGGCGTCCAGAAGATCATGTTGGAGACGGACAACCAGGGGGTGGCTCAATTGCTGGCACAACAAGAGATCGACAGGTCCAAGTTTGCCCCCCTCGTTGAAGAGATTAGAGAGCTACTTGCCATGGTGGCGGAGCGTCATGTGTGTTGGCTAGAAGAACAGCCAATCGGGCTGCTCACAGTCATAACCTAGCCAGGGAAAGCTGCTTAAACAAACTTTGTAAGACTTGGTTACGTGTTTCTCCAGTTTGTATTCGCATTATTGCGGCAAACTCACCGTGAATTAAGCAATGAATAGCAGCATTTTCCCTAAAAAAAGGCACCACAACAGCCAGCAAACCACATCCAAGTGATAAATGGTTCAAAATAAACAGGCATATACAGCGGAGGAACCGGATTACAGTCCCACACTTCTCTCCTCGTCAAGACATGATCCGGATAGGATTATCCATCACTTTTCACACACGCTTAATCCTTCTTAATGGTATTAGCAGTGTCTCTCTTGCACATGCCACGAGTATATGCTTCCGATAATTGTCGTCCGGAAAACTTTTTCCGTTATGCTACTAGTTTCACAAAATTTCTTGATGATTCTTTCATGCCTATGGGAAAGGGATGTGTAGAATGTTATCAATTCCATTGAGAGGTTCATAATCTCAAGCCAGTTTTATGCAAGAGTGTGTATGGTGTGGGTACCCCATACGCACTGATACAGATACTGAAAACAGATTATTGAGTAGTATAATCCAACACTATTTTCAGATCCTTAGCCCAATAGAACGTGGTTAGTAAAATTTCATTTCAGTAAATTTCAAATGTACTAAAATGATGAACATTATAACATTCCCTCCCCCAGGCTGTTCAGGATCTTCAGGGGAACTTCAGTCTGCCCCTAGAAAATTACAGAACCGTCTTCCCAGTCTGAAATTCACAGCAAATATTCCGGTTTTGCAAGCAAAAAAGATGGTTTGAACTACTACTTATCTAGTATAGTTGTAGTAGTAGTAGTAATGTTGAAAACAGGTTAAGTTAGTATACTTGCAACACTATTTTCAGATCCTTAGCCTAATAGGACAATCTTGGTAAAATCGAACTTTACTAACCGATCAACTCAGAGGCAACCATAGCATGTTCCAGTGGCAGTCGAGAGACATGATGCACCTATAAAATTATGGAAATGTTGCCATCTAGAATAACATAGGGGCTTAACCTACAGGTTGACCTTGCCCTAAGCATTGATGTAATGTCACACATACACGAAAATTCAAATCAGGAAATAACCTTCAGATATTTATGTATAGAACTGAAAAGCAATCAAGTTTCCAACACATGCATGTGTTTCTAAACCACCTTAGGCAGAACAAAGTCACAAATTCACAAGGTAAGAGGAGTTACCAGGTGCCTCCCGGTTACAAACCATTTGAACTTCTCCACAACTTTTGCAATTTTAACAGGGGCAAGCTCATAAGTACTGGAATTGCAGAAGAACTTTAGACTAGAAATTGAGCGGATTCATATAGAAGACGATGTAGTCTTGGGCATCAACTTTGTCTTCAAAATGAGCACAAGACACTAGACAGTGCAATCTTCAGGTTCAGCCCTGTCTATGGCTGTCCGAAGGGGTCGGCCACAGACAAATCATGGACATGGTTATCGTACCCAGTACGTTGATATTCACTCCTGAATTCAACCTGAGCATCTTGAGAAGCTCTCTTTTCCACTTGTAGCAGACTATGGTAATAAGCCACCGATATAGCATCGCACGCACCATATACTTCAAATTCAATTTTGTTTAGCGCTTTGGCATTCACAAGAAAGAACCTCGCAAAGTTAACCTGTTTCTCATAGCCTATGAATATCTTAAACACCACTGTTTTAAGATGGGTCTGAAAGCATTCAATTTGATGTGGTGGGTCATACTGAGGCTCATTTTTCTTATTCTCCTCTGAGTGTCTGCCAAACTGCAAAATGGAAATAAGAGGCATATGTTAAAGCTCTTGCAAATGAGATACAAAATACTAGCTATAAGGATGCACAGGCTACACATATAGACTTGACAATGTATTGCTTTTAAAGTGGGTTGATATGGATATTCGATATTTAGTGAATACATCCGCCAGAACTAAAAATCGTTGATATAGTCCATCCATTCACACTGAGTTTGATATCTCCCCACTTGTATTTATATAGGCATGTTTTGATGGTTTTCATCCGAAACATTATTATCCCGTATATCTGAACATCCTCTTTTGATCATTAGATCCACGATAAACTCTCCCAATCAAGTACTGCTGCTGTGCTGCGTGCACTTTTTATACCAACCACACACTGAGAAGATGTGTCAAAGTAGGGAGCATGCTCTCAGCATGTTCCATTAACGTGTCACTACACGTGAGCACGTGACACTTCTTTTGGTTACTATTCTCTCCACATTTTATGTTCTTAATTGTACATGCTTGTATATTCCTTAAATATCCATATCTGCAAGTTGTACTGCACAATCTATATAAGTTATGAACCCAATGAATTAATTGTACACTTAATGAATATCAACTTCGAATTTGATGGATGCCTCTTGTACCGAGTTAGTAATTTTCTGGTTATTACATTTTGAACAGTAACTATTGTATTAAAAAATAAAATTTAACTACATACATAAATGCTAAGCATATACTTACCTGATTTTTATGGAGATTTGTGTAAGTGTGAATGCATATATGACCGGTACTGCGTGTACATAGTGAGATCTGTGGGGGGGAAATTCAGTCTACTTATTTACAACAACTTGCCTAAGTACATCTAGTCATATAGAGATTTGCTATCAGGAAAGAGAGAAAAGATAAGGAAGATACGTGATCGGTAGGTCATTGTGTAATGCATCAATATTTTTTCTGAACTCCACATGTCTATTGTACCTCTAATTAAAATAGAGCTTGTAACTTGTTAGGTGACTTTGTTTTGCATGTCATACGTGTTGTGGTTATGATGTTGAACCTAAATATGAGAACAGGGAATCGTCCGTGACTCGTAAACTTTCAGGTCTGCTAGAAACACAAGATTAACTGAAATACTATCCCAAGTCAGATCTCAATCACATAATTCAACTCTAAAGGTTTATTTTTGGATATTTTTCTAGAATCAACATGGAGACTCAAAATATGCAACCAACAATACATAAATATAATACAACAATCAAAAGGAAAAGATGAGTACTTACAATGATGTATAATTTTTCCAAATAGGGGAACCACCTGAGGACATTACGAACTCCGTCCAATTCATAGCCAGAAGACCTGAGACACAAAACCTTCACGGTGCACATGGAGTTTGCTGAGGTGAGTGGGCTTATTACCTGAAGAAAAGAGATAATGAAAATGAAAAATAAATATCTAAATGCATGATTGCCAAATGCAAGGATGTTGCTGTTGCTACGTACCTGAGATACTAGTATGTTGGAGACGACGGGTAAGATAGGGCCCAATACCTCCAGTCTAGGCGCCCTAACTACACGTATAGTAGCACAATAATCAGAGTGGTGAATATAAGGTAGCAGTACCCTTACAAGGTGAGGAGCATCCTCGATGACCAGTTCGGTCTCTTCATCGCTATTACGGAAGCCAAAACTCCTAAGAGTCGGCGAGCTAACACGGAGGCAACCCGTAGAACGAATTTCAGCCATGTATAAGCTCTCCAAGGCACGGCATGCAGAGAGCAAGCCATGAAACACATCCCCCGACATGGAAACGAACATCAAGGAGAGCTGCTTCAGGAGGGGGAAATTCATGGACGGCAAGGAGGTGGGGAAATTACAATAGCTGATTTTGACAACGAGGAGGCTGGGAGAGCGGAGCGCGGATGGTGGCAGTAGGTTCTCTCGAGTACATCCAGGGAAGCGCTTGTAGTTGTGGTAGGTGAATTCGAGCTCCTGGATGTTGGCGAGGGCTCGGGAATGGAACCAGCTCTCTGCGTCGGCGTCCAGGTCGTCGGGGAAGCAACCGATGGAGAATCGGCGGGCGGGGCCATCGTGGTTGGAAATTATCCCGGACACAGCTGAGGGAAGGACGGTGGAGGGGGAGTGGGAGTTGGCAGGGGATCGGACCTCGAGGTTCAGAGGCGCGGAGCGCCACAGGTAGCGCCATCGGGGTGAGATGGCCGGCGTGCGGCCGCCGTCCTTGGTGGGGAGCAGCGAGATGATGGTGCAGAGGATGGCGTCAGGGAGCGTGCTGATGAAATCGCCGGAGATCTGATCGCGCTCGCCGCTACGGTCGTCCCCGGCCTGGGATTCTCGCTGGTCCATGGCCGGCGGCCGGCGAGACGGACGATTTGGGCGATAAAATTCGCTCACCAGCCGCCACTGGCGGCCTCGTTCGGAACCGGGGCACTCGCGCCCGGGTGGGGAATCAAGTGGGGAGGGGAGGTTGGGGAATGGAACTGGCTGGGATGGAGACTAGGGTTGGCAACCGGCCGGCGGCTGCAACGACGGAGAGGTGTTAGGGTTTGGGGGATTCGGTCAGGCACCGCACTGTCACTCGGGAGTTGGACTTCTGATCCCCGTACTTGCCACTTTCCTCGTTTGTCAGTGTGTCGCTGTTCGATTCCTGAGCCGTGGTTTCTTTCCGTGTCTGGCGTATGCTTGTCTGCCGCAGTGTGTAATAATTTTTTTTAGCACTGGACTTTTTTTTTTGAAAAACTAGCACCGGAGTTTTATCTATTTTTTAAATGCCACACCGGAGTTTGTATTCTTTTCTTGCCCTGTGCGTGGCTCAGGGATTACGTTGGGCCTCTTGGTCCATATGTAACATTTAAAGTAGTACCATACTTGCTTTTACTATATGTTTCTCAAAAGAAATTGGTTTTACGCATTAGCTAAAAATAATAATACACATTAGATAATCTTGCTATGACTATTCAGAGTCAATTACGCATGAGATCATCAAGATTGCAAATGGAGAGCTAAGTGCATCTGCCACGGCAATTGCCAAAATCCGCCCCCAAATGCCTGCGGACAATGACCGGACATCACATAAAAATTTGATTCCACAACCACAAACATCATTTCAAAATCACCAAATCCATATTATTACATGACGTAAAACCTACTCTAAGCTAGCGGAGCTCGTCCGGCTCTTTCGTGCCCACGTCTAGTGGCCCACTGTGCCCCTTAGAGTGTTAGTCTGGTCGCCGTCGAGGTAGAGTAGGACATGAGACACAGATCGACTCATGGGACTCAAGGCGCCGCCGTCTCCCATGTCCTACTCTTCCTCGTTGGAGTCCGGAACCTTCACCGCTGCGAGGGCTTCCGCCGTCCCCCGCGCCCGCTGCCTTGCACGGCGGGCTCGCCGCGCCATATTGGCGTCGGCGGACACCCATGCGTTCAACTCCTCCATATTTGCGCGCCAACGAAGCGGTTGTGCACCCGCTGGCGCATTCTGACGCCAGACGGACCGCAGCGCTTCCGGTGAGGTAGCGGTGACACACCTCACATCGGATACGTGCCCCATTTGGGTGGATGCAATGGATTCCCGATGGAAGGTGTCCAAGCGCTGTCGTCGGGTGGCCTCCTCCCGGGAGCGGCGAAGTGCAAGGCGGACGGTCATCTCTTCCTCGGGACCGCGTGGGATGATCTCGGGATCAACGGATCTGGAGGTATAGAACTCGGATTGCTACCCACCATGCCGGAGAGGGTAGGAGATCGCCGGACGGGAGCTTGTGGGTGGAGGTAGTGGACTGGAGGGGAGGGGAATGGAGTGGAATGCGGCTAGGGTTTCGGCCGGAGGTGTGGATAGGGTCCATTTTATGTGGGGTCTGGTGGGCCAGCATGGGTCGAATCCAACGTGGCAGGTGTGCCCGAACGCGTCTGGGCGTCCCAGTATCCGCCCCAGATTTAGTTTGTATATGGGGACTGCCGGGCATTTGGGCCGGATATAGTGACTCCGATTGGGTGGTGTTTTTGCGTCTGAACAATGACCGGACAGCCCGTCCGGGCGTTTGGGGCTGGTATGGGACATCGGGTTGTAGATGCTCTAACTCAATCAAGCTGTCTAACTCATGGTGTGGTTGTCTTATAGTATAGCAACAAAACATGTTTGTATTCTTCATATTTTTTGTTGACCTACTACAGTAGCTCATCCTCGATGCCTTCTCTAGCGAGCTGCTTCGGTACCCCATCTATGACGACTTTTCATGTGCGTACTCGGGTAGATGATGACACACTCGTCCTAAATAGGGTGGACGATGGCTGTGAGGTGCACATGAGTAATGATTAACTTATGCAAAACAAGATTTGTCCCCATGAATGTCGAGCTAGACACCGCTGCCCCATTGGCATCACAATTTGACTATGATATATCCCCCTCCCTACAATAA